AATGACGAGTATACAGTTTACACTTATAATTCTGGTTTAGTGAATTATATTTTCTAAAGGAAAATAATTATAATAGGAATTTTAGATTTTAGAGCTCAGAACACTATGGGAATGTGGTTATTAGTCTGAGAATTCACAATAATAGACCTTGGAATTGTCTAGATATTTCTATGGAACACTTGAGTTACAAGTAAGTGTAGCTGTAATATCTAAAGGAGAGTGCAAATACACTGGAAACTCACATTCAAACATCTGGGAGATGACGCCTATACTGTTTACATTTAAAATTCTGGTTCAATGATATGATTTCTAAAGGATTCTGGTTAAAATCTTTAAGAATTCAGCTTATAGAGCTCAGAACACTATGGGAATGTGGTTATTAATATTAGAATTGACAATGATAGACCCTGAAATTGTCTACATATGAAGTATGGTAGCAACCATTTCAGGTGGAAACTGTAGTTTAACTCTAACCCTGCTATTTGGCTTAACAATAGAAAAGTTACTTTGATTTTCTGAATTGTATAAGTCATCCCATTTGATTGAATGCCTTATTGATTGTAACGTGACTATCCCATTGATTGTGATCTTACTGGTTATCGAAGCATATTCTTCTCTACCTGGGAAACAGGACAGCACAATTACCCTAAATTGTTTTAGTGGCCACAGGTGGTGCGTTCCAGCTGACTCAGTGGACCCAGGGCTCTAGATAACGTGTTTCTATCAACTCAGTGATCCGGAGACCCAAAACTGTAATTTAGATAACATGGCTAAGTTTAACCCAGGTTACCCAAGGGCTCTAGATAATGTATTTCTGTCAATTCAGTGACCCCGAGACCCAAAACTGTGATTAACATGCTTAATTCTGCTTCTGTAATCTGCTTCTTTGTGAGCCAGGTTCCTCATTCCAAACCCTGAAATGTAATCAATACCTGTGTGATTTTTTGCCTATATAATCCTGGAACTGTGACCAAATGACTACTATGAGATTTGGGAATGGCCCCTCATAGTCCCGGATTGCAATAAATGTGACTCTTTAATTTGACTTCTTGAGGCGTCCTTCTGTGATGCGCGGGGTACATTACAACACATATTTCTATAGAACACTTGAATTACAAGGTAACGGGACTGTAATAATTATAGGAGAGTGCAAATACACTGAAAACTCACGTTAAAACAGATGAGAAATGACGAGTATACTGTTTAAATTTAAAATTCCGGATTAGTGAATTGTATTCTCTAAAAGAAAATAATTATAATATGAACTCGAGATTATAGAGCTCAGAACACTTTGGGAATGTGTGTATTAGTATTAGAATTCACAATAATATATCCTGGACTTGTTTTGAAATATTGGAGCCTTAATATCTGAAGGACAACACTAAAACATTGAGAATTCTCCTTCAAACACATGTGAAATGATGAGAGTACTGTTTACATTTGTAATTCTGGTGCAATGACTTAGATTTTCTAAAGAAAATGAATTATAATACTTATGAATTCAAGGTTTTAGAGCTAAGAACAGTATGGGAATGTGGTTAATAGTCTGACAATTCATAATGATAGACCCTGGAATTGTCTAGATATGTCTATGGAACACTGAATTACAAGTTAATGGAGCCGTAATATCAAAAGGAGAGGCAAATACACTGAAAACTCACGTTCAAACAGCTGGGAAATGATGAGTGTACTGATTACATTTAAAGTTCCAGTTTAGTGAATTGCATTCCCTGAAGGAAAATAATTATAATATGAATTCGAGATTATAGGGCTCAGAACACTTTGGAAATGTGTGTATTAGGATTAGAATTCTCAATAATAGATCCTGGAATTGTCTTGAAATATTTGTGCATCACTTGAATTACAAGGAAATGGAGCCTTAATATCTGAAGGATAGCACTAAAATATTGAGAATTCTACTTCAAACACATGTGAAATGATGAGAGTACTGTTTACATTTATAATTGCTCTTCAATGACTTCGCTTTTCTAAAGGAAATAAATTATAATACTTATTAATTCAAGTTTTTAGAGCTAAGAAAACAATGGGAATGTGGTTATTAGTATTAGAATTGACAATGATAGACCCTGAAATTGTCTAGATATTCCTATAGAACACTTGAATTACAAGGTAACGGAGCTGCAATATCTATAGGAGAGTGCAAATACACTGAAAACTCATGTTCAAACAGCTGGGAAATGACGAGTATACTGTTTACATTTATAACTCCAGTTCAATGACATGATTTCTAAAGGATTCTAGTTAAAATCTTTAAGAATTCAGCTTATAGAGCTCAGAACACTATGGGAATGTGGTTATTAGTCTGAGAATTCATAACGATAGACCTTGGAATAATCTAGATATGTCTATGAAACACTTGAATTACAAGTAAATGGAGCCCTAATATCAAAAGGAGAGTGTAAATACACTGAAAACTCATGTTCAAACAGCTGGGAAATGACCAGTATACTGTTTACATTTATAACTCCAGTTCAATGACATGATTTCTAAAGGATTCTAGTTAAAATCTTTAAGAATTCAGCTTATAGAGCTCAGAACACTATGGGAATGTGGTTATTAGTCTGAGAATTCATAACGATAGACCTTGGAATAATCTAGATATGTCTATGGAACACTTGAATTACAAGTAAATGGAGCCCTAATATCAAAAGGAGAGTGTAAATACACTGAAAACTCATATTCAACAGCTGGAAAATGACGAGTATAATGATTCCATTTATAACTCTGGTTCAACGACATGATTTCTAAAGGATTCTAGTTAAAATCTTTAAGAATTCAGCTTAAAGAGCTCAGAACACTATGGGAATGTGGTTAGTAGTCTGAGAATTCATAATGATAGACGCTGAAATTGTCTAGATATGTTTATCGAACACTTGATTTACAAGTAAAAGGATCCGTAACATCTAAAGGAGAGTGAAAATACACTGAAAAGACAAGCTCAAACACCTGGGAAATAACTAGTTTACTGTTTCCATTTATAACCCTGGTTCAATGACATGATTTCTAAAGGATTCTAGTTAAAATCTTTAAGAATTCAGCTTTTAATGGTCAGAACACTATGGGAATGTGGTTATTAGTCTTAGAATTCACAATCATAGACCCTGAAATTGTCTATATATCGATGAAACACTTGAATTACAAGAAAAAGGAGCCAAAATATTTAAAGGAGAGTGTAAATACACTGAAAACTCACGTTCAAACAGCTGTGAAATGACGAGCATACAGTTTACATTTATAATTCCACTTCAAAGACTTGGAATGTTTAAATGAATCTAATTATAATACTTAGAATTCAAGCTTATAGAGCTCAGATCACTATGGGAATGTGGTTATTTTTCCCAGAATTCACAATCATAGACCCTGAAATTGTCTATATATGTCTATGGAACACTTGAATTACAAGTAAATGGATCCGTAATATCTATAGGAGAGTGCAAATACACTGAAAAATCACGATCAAACACCTGGGAGATGACAAGTATACAGTTTACATTTATAATTCCGGTTTAGTGAATTGTATTTTCTAAAGGAAAATGATTACAATATGAATTCCAGATTATAGAGCTCAGAACACATTGGGAATTTGTGCATTAGTATTAGAATTCACAATAATAGATCCTGGAATTGTCTTGAAGTGTCTGTGGATCACTTGAATTACAAGTAAATGGAGCCTTAATACCTGAAGGACAGTACTAAAGCAATGAGAATTCTCTTTCAAACACATGTGAAATGATGAGAGTACTGATTACATTTACAATTCTGATTCATTGACTTGGCTTTTCTAAAGGATTCTAGTTAAAATATTTAAGAATTCAGCTTATAGAGCTAAGAACCCTATGGGAATGTAGTTATTAGTATTTGAATTCACAATTATAGACCCTGAAATTGTCTAGGTATGTGTATGGAACACTTGAATTACAAGTAAATGGAACCGTAATATCTAAAGGAGAGTGAAAATACACTGAAAACTCACGTTCAAACAGCAGTGAAATGACGAGCATACAGTTTACATTTATAATTCCAGGTTCAAAGACTTGGCATTTCTAAATTAATCTAATTATAATACTTAAGAGTTAAAACTTATAGAGCTCAGATCAATATGGGAATATCTTTATTAGTCTTAGAATTCACAATGATAGTCCCTGAAATTGTCTAGATATGTCTATGGAACACTTGAATTACAAGGAAATGGAGCAGTAATATCTAAAGCAGAGTACAAATACATTAAAAACTCATATTCAAACTGCTGGGAGATGACGCGTATACTGTTTACATTTAAAACTCCCGTTCAATGACATGATTTCCAAAGGATTCTGGTTAAAATCTTTAAGAATTCAGCTTATAGAGCTCAGAACACTATGGGAATGTGGTTAATAGTCTGAGAATTCATAATGAGAGACCCTGGAATTGTCTAGATATGTCTATGGAACATTTGAATTACAAGTAAATGGAGCCGTAATGTAATGTTTATAAGAGAGTGCAAATACACTGAGAAATCACAATCAAACACCTGGGAAATGACGATTATACTGTTTACATTTACAATTCCGGTTTAGTGAATTGTATTTTCTAAAGGAAAATGATTATAATATGAATTCGAGATTATAGAGCTCAGAACACTTTGGGAATGTGTGTATTAGTATTCGAATTCACAATAATATATCCTGGACTTGTCTTGAAATATCTGTGCATCACTTGAAGTACAAGTAATTGCAGCCTTAATATCTGAAGGACAACACTAAAACATTGAGAATTCTCCTTCAAACACATCTGAAATGACGAGAGTACTGTTTACATTTATAATTCTGGTGCAATGACTTAGATTTTCTAAAGGAAATGAATTATAATACTTATGAATTCAAGGTTTTAGAGCTAAGAACAGTTTGGAATGTGGTTATTAGTACTAGAATTGACAATGATAGACCCTGAAATTGTCTAGATATTTCTATAGAACACTTGAATTACAAGGAAATGGAGCCTTAATATCTAAAGGAGAGTGCAAATACACTGAAAACTCATGTTCAAAGAGCTGGGAAATGATGAGTATACTGTTTCCATTTATAACTCCGGTTCAATGACATGATTTCTAAAGGATTCTAGTTAAAATCTTTAAGAATTCAGCTTATAGAGCTCAGAACACTATGGGAATGTGGTTAATAGTCTGTCAATTCATAATGATAGACCCTGGAATTGTCTAGATATGTCTATGGAATACTGAATTACAAGTTAATGGAGCCATACTATCAAAAGGAGAGGCTAATACACTGAAAACTCACGTTCAAACAGCTGGGAAATGATGAGTGTACTGATTACATTTAAAGTTCCAGTTTAGTGAATTGCATTCTCTGAAGGAAAATAATTATAATATGAATTCAAGATTATAGGGCTCAGAACACTTTGGAAATGTGTGTATTAGCATTAGAATTCACAATAATAGATCCTGGAATTTTCTTGAACTGTCTGTGCAACTCTTGAATTGTTATGCCCAGATCTCAAGATCCCCAGAACACCACACCAAGGAGCCAGCCATGTCCGATGCAAAAGCAGAGGACCCTTTATTTTAAGCTAGCTTGACTCCCCCTCCTGGCCGACGCAGCGACAGGAAGCAGATTGAGACGGTGTGGGAAACACAGGGTTTTAATAGGGGGTGGAGTGAAGAGAGGGGAGCTGACTGTGGGCCCTGCCGATTGGCCAGGCGCAAGTCGGGTCTTGTTACACAGGATGTGGTCATCTCTATGGCGCACACGTCCCTGGATTGTCATTGGTTAGTTTAAAGAAATCCCAGGCGTGGCCAGCAGAGGCCTGGGCTTCCAGGAAGAAGGTACTTTCCTGAGCACATGTCTGCCCCAAAATGGAGGACACAGGGTAAGATGGAAGGCGTAGTCCTCACCATTTCATTCCCCGCTTTGTCTTGGAACTTCCGGCTCAATCATGAGACGGACTGCATTTCTATTTCACCATTGCTAGAGGCCTGTAGTGGGTACACAGAACTATCAACTGAACTATCCCTATATGCTTAACAAATGGTCCGGTGGAAGGGAAAGAAACCATTTTAGCTTTAACAACTTCTATTGAAATAGGATTTTTCTTCTTAAAATCCTCCATGGCTATTAAAAGGCCAAATTAGGATTAATTTATCTACTGTATTTATTTAGCATTGCCAGATTTCAGAGGAATTACATAAGGAGAAAAATGTACTGATCTACTCTAAGATTTTCTGATTTTTCTTGCCAATTTCTTTTCATGGATTTTTTAGAGTTATGACAGAATAGTAATTGTTGGCATTAAATTTTCTTTCTATGCATAACCATGCCTCAGACCTTCTATTCTAAACAGGCCTTTCCCAGCTTACTACCCCTGACATGGGCATGGTTACACAGGCCTGCAAGCAATGCACAGGCTGCCAACTGTCAACTGTCTTTTAACAGAGACCAAAACTTGATGAGCACCCTTTCCTGCCCAGTTGGACAACTGCCCTCTTGGCAGCTAGACATTTTTTACTTTTGGGGGTCACGTTACACAGTTCCCTTCCAGGACAGCCAACACACATTCAAACCTGCAAGAGAATTAAAGGTTAATGTAACATATCAATACAATGAAACATAATATTGGCATCATGGCCGCTTCAGGCAGCCAAATCTTCCGCTACTAAACATGTGATACTAAAGTACATTCCTGACCTTTCTAAGAATTGTCCTTGTCTTTTTGGAGCCATGGTCATGAAGGTGCAGGCATTATTTAAATCTATTCAATGTTACCAACATCAGGCAGGTTGAGCACGCCATAGCTTGAGCTTGAGTGGGTTGCGTTGAACTCGATCAACGCTCCATTTGGTGATGAAGTCTTTCCGGACCATGGATGGGTCCGCTGACCGGATGTGAGTGTGATGGACCCACGTCGCGACCCCGTCTACCTTGAGAGCGGTGGGGGTTGTCAGCACCACAGTGTAGGGACCCTTCCAACGTGGCTCAAGGGTTTCTCGGTGATGCCTTCTGACATAGACCCAATCTCCTGGTCTGTGCCGATGAGGAGTTGGGGTTGGGCTGGTCTCATAGATGGCGCGGAGGCGCAGCCAAATGTCCTCGTGCACCCTCTGGAGCCCTCTTAAGGAAAGAGATAGTTCTTGATTTTCAAATTCAGCAAGAAAGTCAGCTTTAAGGTTAGGAATGATAGGGGGTGGCCTGTCAAACATGATTTCATAGGGAGTAAAGCCCAGGATGTAAGGGGAGTTCTTTACCCGGTAAAGGGCATACGGTAGGAGAGCCACCCAGTCCCCGCCAGTCTCCATGGTTAATTTGGTAAGGGTCTCTTTTAGAGTTCTGTTCATTCTCTCTACCTGACCTGAACTCTGGGGTCTATAAGCACAATGTAGTTTCCAATTTGCCCCAATAGCCCTGGTTACTACCTGCGTTACCTGTGAAATAAAGGCTGGCTCGTTGTCGGATCCTATCATAGCAGGAAAACCATACCTGGGTAAGATGTCTTCCAGCAGCTTCTTGGCCACCATCTGAGCTGTTTCATGCTTGGTTGGGTATGCCTCTACCCATCCAGAGAAGGTGTCTATAAATACTAAAAGATATTTATAACCATACTTCCCTGGTTTAATTTCAGTGAAGTCGACCTCCCATTGTGCTCCCGGTTTGGTGCCTCTGAGCCTGGTCCCTTTTTTATTTGATCCGACCCTTGCGTTTGTGAGTTGACAGGTCTTGCAGGCAGACACAACCTGATCTATCTTGGTATTTTGCTGGTGAATTTTGATCCTGGCATGTTGGATTAAGTCCTTCATTTTCCGGGTTCCCAGGTGAGTGGATTGGTGCATATGTTTTAATATCGTGTCCCCGAGCCAGTCCGGCAGTATAAGTTCTCCTTCTGGTGTATGCCACCATCCCTTTATTTCCTGGGCTTTGGGGAGCTTTTTGATACGTTGCAACTCCTCCTGGGAGTACTTGGGCTGGTCTGGTAGGACTGGGTCCCCTGGGTCTGGTAGTTGTAAGGCCATGGTAGGGACCGGGGTAAGGGCTACTGCTTTTGCAGCCTGGTCAGCCTTTTGGTTACCTTTCGCTACCAGGTCATCGGCTTTTTGGTGTCCCTGGCAGTGGATTATGGCTAACTTGGCAGGAAGCCATAAGGCCGCGAGCAGGTCGAGGATTTCCTGCTTATTTTTTATTGTCCGTCCCTCTGCTGTCAATAGCCCTCTCTCCTGGTAGATTGCCCCGTGAACATGAGCTGTAGCAAATGCATAACGGCTGTCTGTGTAAACGTTAAGCCGTTTTCCAGCCCCCAGTGTCAGTGCCTTGGTGAGTGCAATGAGTTCTGCTTGCTGAGCTGATGTCCCAGGGGGCAGAGCCTCCGCCCACATAGTGTTTGTGTTGGTAACCACCGCCGCACCCGCATACCTGCACCCGTTCCGCACGAAGCTGCTTCCATCCATGAACCAGGTGGCCTCTGCATCCGGGAGGGGCCGATTGGTCAAGTCCTTCCGAAGTCCATGTACCTGCTCCAGGATCCCTGCACAGTCATGTAGTGGGGCATCTAGGTCAGGGTCAGGTAGCAGGGTAGCAGGGTTTAGGGCCGCACTGGGATGGAACCGTACTCTAGGGGGGTTGAGCAGCAAGCTTTGATAGTGGGTCATGCGAGCATTGCTCATCCACCTATCAGGAGGCTGTTTTAGGACCCCTTCAATGGCATGCGGGGTTGTGATCCAGATCTCCTGTCCCAGGGTCAGTTTGTCAGCATCCTTGACTAAGAGCGCGGTTGCTGCAATGATTCTTAGGCACGGTGGCCAGCCGGCGGCTACGGGATCCAGGTTTTTAGACAAATATGCTACTGGGCGACTCCAGGGGCCTAAAGCCTGGGTTAAAACCCCTTTTGCTACTCCTTTGCGCTCGTCTACAAAGAGGCGAAAGGGTTTTGTAATGTCTGGTAGGCCCAGGGCTGGAGCAGCCAAAAGAGCTTTCTTTATGTGATTAAAGGCAATTTCTTCTGTCTCAGTCCATTTAAAGGCCTTCCCCTCCTTGGTGGCTTCATATAGGGGCCTGGCGATCTCAGCAAAACTTGGTATCCAGAGGCGGCAATAGCCAGCCGATGCTAGGAATTCCCTCACCTCCCTCCAGGAGGTGGGAGCAGGGATTTTCAAGACTGTCTCTTTTCTAGCATCTGACAACTGCCGCTGTCCGCCCTCCAGTATGTATCCCAGGTAACTCACCCTCTTTTGGCATATCTGAGCCTTCTTCGCAGAAGCCCGGTACCCTAAGGTCCCTAGGGTGGCCAGCAGATCTTTGGTCCCTTGCTCACAATCTTTGGCGGTATCGGCAGCAATCAGGATGTCATCTATGTACTGAAGGAAGGTGAGATTGGGGTGCTCTCTCCTGTACTCACCGAGGTCTTCATGCAGCGCCTCGTCGAAGATGGTGGGCGAATTCTTGAATCCTTGGGGCAATCGCTTCCAGGTTAATTGTCCACTGTAGCCTTCCTCTGGGTCGTGCCATTTGAAGGCAAACAGGGGTTGGCTTTAAGGCTCTAGCGGCAGGCTGAAAAAGGCATCCTTCAAGTCTAATACAGTATACCAGACTCTAGAGGGTGCCAGAGAGCTTAGGAGAGTGTATGGGTTAGGAACGGTTGGGTGTATATCCAGGACTCTTTTATTTACTTCCCGGAGGTCCTGGACTGGTCGATAGTCATTCGTGTGGGGCTTTCTGACCGGCAGGAGGGGGGTGTTCCAGGCAGATTGGCATGGAACCAGTACCCCTAGGCTTCGCAGTCTCCGGATGTGAGGCTGGATTCCCTTCCGAGCCTCCTGGAACATAGGGTACTGTTTGACTCTTATTGGGCCTTATCCTGGTTTTAGCTCTAGCAGGGTTGGGGCCCTGTGGGTGGCCAGTCCTACTCCCCCCATCTCTGCCCAGGCTGTGGGGAATTCTTGCAGCCACCTGTCCATATTGTTCTCTACTGGGGGTGCCCCCTGGTGGAGGCGATATTCATCCTCCAGTCTCAGAGTCAGAACCTGGATGGGGTGGCCTTTGCCATTGGTGACCTGAGGCCCCCCCTTGTCTGAAGGTTATTTGGGTTCCAATCTTGGTTAGCAAGTCCCATCCTAATAGGGGGTAGGGGCACTCTGGTATTACCATGAAAGAATTGGATACCCGGCTCGTTCCTAGATCTACTGTTCTTTGGGTAGTCCATGAATACTGGCTCATGCCAGTTGCCCCTTGCACCCAGGACTTTTTATTAGCTAGCTTCCCCTAGGGTGTGCGGAGAACCGAATGTTGTGCTCCAGTGTCAACAAGGAAGTCAACAGGGGTCCCCTCCACTCTAAGAGTTACCCTGGGCTCAGGGAGGGGGTCCGAACCCCGACTCCCCTAATCACTCAGTCCTTCCAGCTCCAAGACCTCCACCCGGTCTGTCTTGTTTTCCTTTTTACCAGCCTTCTTTGGGCATTCTCGGACCCAGTGCCCTATCTCTTTGCAGTAAGCACACTGGTTCCGTTGCAGCTTCTTTCTCCCACCCCGGGCAGTTCCCTTACCTCTTTCTTGGCCATCAGCAAGCTGGCGAAGGCGGCGGATCCGCTCCTCAGGGGACTCCATGGTGGTGGCTAGCAGAATCTTGGCCAGGTTTCGGGTCTGCTTGTCACTGGCAGCCACCATGGCGCGGGCTTGCCTATCCTCAGGGGCTCTCGGTTATTGAACACCTTCTCTGCCACTGCCAGTAAATCCTGTAAACTCTTTTCTCCTAACCTATCTATTCTCTGCAGTTTCTTTCTAATGTCCATGGCTGACTGGTTTATAAAACTCATGATTACAGCTGCCTTATTCTCAGGGGTTTCTGGATCCATGGGGGTATAGGTGCGATATACCTCCATGATCTGTTCTAGAAAGGCAGCTGGAGACTCATCTCTTTCCTGCTGTACATTCCCTACCTTGGTCAAATTGGTGGGCTTTCTAGCAGCCCTGCGGAGACAACCCACTAGAGTCTGGCGGTAGACCAAAAGCCTCTCCTTACCTTCTGCCATGTTGAAATCCCATTCAGGCCTAGTTAAGGGAAAAGAGACATCTATCTGGGCCTGGTTTGTGGTTGGATTTCCATCTACACCAGGAACCATCTTCCGGGCCTCATTGAGGATCCTTTCTCTCTCTTCCGTTGTGAACAGAATCTGTAAAAGCTGCTGACAGTCGTCCCATGTGGGCTGATGGGTGAAAAGAACAGAATCTAGCAAGTCAATAAGTCTCCCCAGCTTTTCGGAGAACTTAGGGTTCTGTGCCTCCAGTTATACAAGTCGCTAGTTGCGAAAGGCCAATAGAAATGGGGCTGGTTGCCATCCGCATCCGGGGGTCCAGCGGCCCGTAAGGGCAGGGTCTTGATAGTGGAGTTGGGTGCTGCGACAGACAGTTCCCACTGAGCTCTTTGCCGGGTGAGAGGCGGGCCTCCTACCGGAACCGGAACCGCGGCCACTCCCGGAACCCCGCCCCCAGGCACTCCCGGAACTGCATCAGCTTCCCACGACGGGGCGGGATCGAATCTCTCTGGCATCCTGTGGAAATGATATGGGGGAGGAAAAATTAACTCTTCTCCAGTTCCCCCCTGCAAAACCGGGTAGAGGGGAGCTGGAGCTGATGGCAGGGTGGCTTTTTTCTCCTCCCTCTTCTCTGCTTCTTGCAAGGCAAGAATGGGTTCTGGCTCCAGAGGGTGTGGAGGTAGGAAGGGCCTAAGCCAAGATGGTGGATTTTCCACAAGGTCCTGCCAAGTAACAATGTAAGAGAGTTGACCAGCATGTCCCTCTTTGGGCTGGGAGACGACTTCCCTAACCCGCGGATGGTGGGGAGATCGAAAGTCCCCTCCGGCGGCGACCCGACATTAAAAGTCGGCCACTCCCTGGAACAAAAAGTCCACCACCAGTCCTTCCGAACCTCCGCACTGAGGTTGCTGGCCCTTCCCTTTACCTCTTTAAAATTATCGACCATAATGCTTAAAGGAGTAGTTTGAGTCTGTCCCATAATGTCCATCCAGTAAGTCCACAAAATAAAACCGAAAAAACACAAACACAGACAACTAAGGGGCCCTAAAATACAGTATTCCAACTCCATGGAAGCGAAACCAAAATAATCTCCCAACTCCATGGAAGCAAAAACCGAAAACGATGGCTGCGGGCCAACCAGCGGGAGCGACCCGCCTGTCTCAGATTAAGGGGCTTCTACAGACCTTCCGACACTGTGGAAGCAAAGCTACACCCCTACAGATGGAGGATCGAGGCGTCCCCCGACTCCTCCCACCCTTGATCCTCATGTGCATCCACTTGGATCATTCCAGGGGATTACAGATTTCAGAAGTGAGCTCACACAGGACAGATACAAACAGATACAAACACACAACAACACAGACACCTACCGCGGTCAGTCAGGCCCTCCGAACTGGGGGGTCCCTGGATGGTGTTAGGGATCCCAGACGAGCCCCCAAATGTTATGCCCAGATCTCAAGATCCCCAAAAGACCACACCAGGGAGCCAGCCATTCCTGATGCAAAAGCAGAGGATCCTTTATTTTAAGCTAGCTCGACTCCCCCTCCTGGCCGACGCAGCGACAGGAAGCAGATTGAGACGGTGTGGGAAACACAGGGTTTTAATAGGGGGTGGAGTGAAGAGAGGGGAGCTGACTGTGGGCCCTGCCGATTGGCCAGGTGCAAGTCGGGTCTTGTTACACAGGATGTGGTCATCTCTATGGCACACACGTCCCTGGATTGTCATTGGTTAGTTTAAAGAAATCCCAGGCGTGGCCAGCAGAGGCCTGGGCTTCCAGGAAGAAGGTACTTTCCTGAGCACATGTCTGCCCCAAAATGGAGGACACAGGGTAAGATGGAAGGCGTAGTCCTCGCCCTTTCAGAATTACAAGTAAATGGAGCTTTAATATCTGAAAGACAGCAAAAAAACATTGAGAATTCTCGTTCAAACACATGTGAAATGAGCAGAGTACTGTTTACATTTATAATTGCGGTTAAATGACTTAGCTTTTCTAAAGGAAATAAATTAAAATACTTATGAATTCAAGTTTTTAGAGCTAAGAACACTATGGGAATGTGGTTATTAGTATTAGAATTGACAATGATAGACCCTGAAATTGTCTAGATATTTCTATAGAACACTTGAATTACAAGGAAATGGAGCTGTAATATCTAAAGGAAAGTGCAAATACACTGAAAACTCACGTTCAAAGAGCTGGGAAATGACGAGTATACTGTTTCCATTTATAACGCTGGTTCAATAACATGATTTCTAAAGGATTCTAGTTAAAATCTTTAAGAATTCAGCTTATAGAGGTCAGAACACTATGGGAATGTGTTTAGTAGTCTGACAATTCATAATGATAGACCCTGGAATTGTCTAGATATGTCTATGGAACACTAAATTACAAGTTAATGGAGCCGTAATATCAAAAGGAGAGGCAAATACACTGAAAACTCACGTTCAAACAGCTGGGAAATGATGAGTGTACTGATTACATTTAAAGTTCTGGTTTAGTGAATTGCATTCCCTGAAGGAAAATAATTATAATATGAATTCGAGATTATAGGGCTCAGAACACTTTGGAAATGTGTGTATTAGCATTAGAGTTCACAATAATAGAGCCTGGAATTGTCTTGAAGTGTCTGTGCAACTCTTGAATTACAAGTAAATGGAGCCTTAATATCTGAAAGACAGCACTAAAACATTGAGAATTCTTGTTCAAACACATGTGAAATTACCAGAATACTGTTTACATTTATAATTGCGGTTAAATGACTTCGCTTTTCTAAAAGTAATAAATTAAAATACTTATGAATTCAAGTTTTTAGAGCTAAGAACACTATGGGAATGTGGTTATTAGTATTAGAATTGACAATGATAGACCCTGAAATTGTCTAGATATTTCTATAAAACACTTGAATTACAAGGTAACGGAGCTGTAATATCTAAAGGAGAGTGCAAATGCACTGAAAACTCACCTTCCAACAGCTGGGAAATGATGAGCATACAGTTTACATTTATAATTCCAGTTCAAAGACTTGGAATGTTTAAATGAATCTAATTATAATACTTAAGAATTCATGCTTATAGAGCTCAGATCACTATGGGAATGTGGATATTTTTCCCAGAATTCACAATCATAGTGAAGTATGGTAGCAACCACCAGGTAGAAACTGTAGTTTAACTCTAACCCTGCTATTTGGCTTAACAATAGAAAAGTTACTTTGATTTTCTGAATTGTATAAATCATCCCATTCGATTGAATGACCATCCCATTGATTGTTATCTTACTGGTTATCGAAGCACATTCTTCTGTACCTGGGAAACAGGACAGCACAATTACCCTAAATTGTTTTAGTGGCCACAGGTGGTGCGTTCCAGCTGACTTAGTGGTCCCGAGACCAGAACAGCACAATTACTGTAAATTGTCCTGACAACTCAGTGGTCAGGAGACCCGAGGGCTCTAGATAATGTATTTCTGTCAATTCAGTGACTTCAAGACCCGAAACTGTAATTAACATGCTTAATTCTGCTTCTGTAATCTGCTTTTTTTGCGAGCCAGGTGCCTCATTCCAAACCCTGAGATGTAATCAATACCTTTGTGATTTTTTGCCTATATAATCCTGGAACTGTGACCAAATGGCTACTATGAGATTTGGGAATGGCCCCTCATAGTCCCGGATTGCAATAAATGTGACTCTTTAATTCGACTTCTTGAGGCGTCCTTCTGTGATTCACGGGGTACATTACAACAATAGACCCTGAAATTGTCTAGATATGTCTATGGAACATTTGAATTACAAGTAAATGGATCCGTAATATCTATAGGAGAGTGCAAATACACTGAAAAATCACGATCAAACACCTGGGAAATGACAAGTATACAGTTTACATTTATAATTCCGGTTTAGTGAATTGTATTTTCTAAAGGAAAATGATTACAATATGAATTCCAGATTATAGAGCTCAGAACACATTGGGAATTTGTGCATTAGTATTAGAATTCACAAGAATAGATCCTGGAATTGTCTTGAAGTGTCTGTGGATCACTTGAATTACAAGTAAATGGAGCCTTAATACCTGAAGGACAGTACTAAAGCAATGAGAATTCTCTTTCAAACACATGTGAAATGATGAGAGTACTGATTACATTTACAATTCTGATTCATTGACTTGGCTTTTCTAAAGGATTCTAGTTAAAATATTTAAGAATTCAGCTTATAGAGCTAAGAACCCTATGGGAATGTAGTTATTAGTATTTGAATTCACAATTATAGACCCTGAAATTGTCTAGGTATGTGTATGGAACACTTGAATTACAAGTAAATGGAACCGTAATATCTAAAGGAGAGTGAAAATACACTGAAAACTCACGTTCAAACAGCTGGGAGATGACGCGTATACTGCTTACATTTAAAACTCTGGTTCAATGACATGATTTCTAAAGGATTCTGCTTAAAATCTTTAAGAATTCAGCTTATAGAGCTCAGAACACTATGGGGATGTGGTTAGTAGTCTGAGAATTCATAATGATAGACCCTGGAATTGTCTAGATATGTCTATGGAACATTTGAATTACAAGTAAATGGAGCCGTAATATCTATAGGAGAGTGCAAATACACTGAAAAATCACGATCAAACACCTGGGAAATGACGAGTATAATGTTTACATTTACAATTCCGGTTTAGTGAATTGTATTTTCTAAAGGAAAATGATTATAATATAAATTCGAGATTATAGAGCTCAGAACACTTTGGAAATGTGTGTATTAGCATTAGAATTCACAATAATAGATCCTGGACTTGTCTTGAAGTGTCTGTGCATCACTTGAATTAAAAGTAAATGGAGCCTTAATATCTGAAGGACAGCACTAAAACATTGAGAATTCTCCTTCAAACACATGTGAAATGACTAGAGTACTGTTTACATTTATAATTGTGGTTAAATGACTTCGCTTTTCTAAAAGAAATAAATTAAAATACTTACGAATTCAAGGTTTTAGAGCTAAGAACAGTATGGGAATGTGGTTATTAGTATTAGAATTCACAATAATAGATCCTGGAATTGTCTAGATATTTCTATATAACACTTGAATTACAAGGAAATGGAGCCGTAATATCTAAAGGAGAGTGCAGATACACTGAAAAATCACCTTCAAAGAGCTGGGAAATGATGAGTACACTGTTTCCATTTATAACTCCGGTTCAATGACATGATTTCTAAAGGATTCTAGTTAAAATCTTTAAGAATTCAGTTTATAGAGCTCAGAATGTGAAGGAAAACCCCTATTCTGTAAAACTACTGTTTGGAATTCTCTGCTATTCTTTGGACGGCCTCTTATTCTGAAAAAGTAACTTTGCTTTCTAGCCTGCCTGATTAATGAGGGAGATAAATTAGCTGTCTGACCTTGTAGGCCAGAAACTAAATACATCCAATGCCATGCCAGGTGCATTTTTAATTGATAGAACTGTGTAGTTTTCAAGGCCGCTGCCAGTAAGCACACAAAGGGCTGGCTCATCTATAAAAAGGAAAGTTCTGCTTGTAGCTTTGCTTAGATTTGGATTCATTTCCCTAGGCCCGCCGCGGTGAATAAAGTGTAACTCCAAACTCTCAGAGCGCTGTTTGGTTCTGGTCCGGTTTTTCTGTAACATAATTGGTTCCCTGACATTCCAGGAAGACCGGGGAATCACCCATCATGGCTTCTTGGCCTCAGGTGTGGACTGGGTTTAAGGACCAGGGGAGTCGGATAGGCCCCCGGGAGGCGCCACTCTGCTGATTTAGCAGAATTGAACCGGGGGAACTCCGGGCACTCCCGTACCTCAGCCCAGGACCTGGCCGGCATCTGGAGAGCGTGGAAAGACACTTCTGGACCTGTCTGCAGAATCTGTAAGGTAGGGGCCCCAATCCCCTACCGTCTGGCCCACTCGGAATGAGTGGAAGGGGAGCTTGATCACCTCCTGGGGAGCCATAGAGCTCCCTCAGGTTTTGGGTATCCC